ACTTTTTTTAAACTGTGCTTCCATTTTTGTTCCTGGCAAAGAGGAGAAAGAGACCCAGTTTTTCTTGGTGGTGCAGTTTCCTTGCCTAAGTTTCTTATTGACAGACATCCATGAACAAGCCTGGGGACAAAGCAGTGACACTGGTTTGAGTTCATGAACCAGACAGAAMAGATCAAAGCCCAGGGGATAATTCATATTAAAATCAGTGTAATCTGTTTATCTCCACAACAGGCAAAGCAAGAAGGTCTCCTTAAATTTGTGCTTCTTTTGATCTCAGAGGAACTAAATAAATTTCACCAAATGACTGTGTTGTGGTTCATGTCCCACAGTTAAATGCACCATGCKCTCATGTGTCTGAGCTGGTGAAGGCCTCAACTGAAAATTTTGCAGCTGTGGTTTAGGAAAACAATATGGTACAAAGTTCAGGTTATTCATTACCAGAACAATAGTAACAATCCCAGGGATGTAACTTGCACTGCCTTGGAAAACAAAAGGCATTTGCCATTACATTGATRACTGACCTTGTAGCCATCTCTGACTTGGCCCTTGTCCTTGCTTCATGGCCAGCTCTGTGATCTTGGGGACAGCTGGAGGATGTTCCACTGATGGCAGCAGCAGGTTTATCTCAGAGCTGTTAATGGTGTACCTGGTCTCCATCCTGGCACCTTGGCACATCCTCACCTTCACAGCGGGACTGGGGACAGTGGAGTCAGRAATGGTCTCTGAATGATGGGGTTACCAATGGACAGCCAGGGTGCACTGGGAGTTTGACCTTTCTCTATGTTCATTAAAGCTGCTGTCGACTCGCATCACTTTAGGGGATTTCTCATTTGTAGTCTTTTCATTTTCTGAGTGAATTTCTCTTGTGTCTATTAGAAGTAGAGGTTCTGAGTCTCCTGCAGCTGTCCTCTGGCTGAGCTGGGCATAGTGATGTGTCACGGGAGCGTGCTGGTCCCTGGCACGCTTGGAGGGTTCCTGGAGGGCTGGCTGGGTGCAGCCGGGAGGGGGAGCACGAAGAGCAGGATCTGTAGTGTGGGATCTGCTTTCCCCTTGCGTGCCAGAGACCGATTGAGGTGCCTGTGCTGGTACCCTCTCACTGGGAGTCAATTAAAAGCTGTTCTGAGCAGGGAGCACAGCCTGCTCCTGGCTAAGGAGGAGCTTTCAGAGAGGAACCTTGCACCATATGCAGTGATTCCTGCAGTTCTTGGCAGAAACTGTGGTGTGCTATGACTGACCTTCAGATTTGACATCACCAGTTAGTGTCTGTAACAATCATATTAGGAATAAGGTGGTTATTACACTGAAAAATGTTTAGATAAGTACACAATCAGAACAGATGTAAAACAGGAAAAGTAAAGCCCTGACATGAGAAGAGGAATATTAGAAAAGCTCTGAATGTACAGATTGGTTAAAGCTTGTACTGTGCTACTCTTTTGTATTACTTTACCTCTGCTTTAAAGTGAAAAAAAAAGGATTATTGACTGCTCCCATTGATTTGGGCTGAACACGATGTAAAGTGCATCAGTAGCAATAAAAGTGCAGTGGGTCAGCTTGRGAGTTCAGCTCTTGTTTGTGTAACWCAGTCCCTTTTTGTCTGATTGTACACAYAGGCTGTATGTGCAGACCAAAATGTTTTGCTTTCTAAAATCAGAAATGGTTGTTTTAAAACAGTCCACTTACCAAAACATTATTTCTAATTCTTGTGTTCTGTACACAGAATATGTAAGTATGTCTTTACCTTAGAAATTGCAGGAAAGCCTGACTCTTAAAAACATGAGTACTTGGCAACCTTGGGGGCATCTGAGCATTTTTCATTCATGTGTGTTAAATAGTATTTTTTTTCATTTGTKCTGCAGGAATAGGGAAGAACGTGCTCTGTGAGAAAGCTGCTACCTCTGTGGATGCCTTCAGGATGGTCACAGCTGCCAGGTATTATCCCAAGCTGATGAGCATTGTTGGCAATGTTCTCCGTTTCTTGCCCGCCTTTGTGAAGATGAAGCAGTTGATCGAGGAACACTACGTGGGCAACGTCATCATCTGCGACGTGCGAGTCTATGGGGGAAGCCTGCTCAGCCACAAGTACAACTGGATCTGTGATGAGCTCATGGGAGGGGGTGGGCTGCACACCATGGGCACCTACATCATCGACCTCCTGACTCACCTCATCAGCAGGAGAGCAGAGAAGGTCCACGGTTTGCTCAARACTTTTGTGAAGCAGAACACAGCCATCAGCGGGATCCGCCACGTCACCAGCGATGACTTCTGCGTTTTCCAGATGCTCATGAGCGACGGTGTCTGTTGCACTGTGACCCTCAACTTCAACATGCCCGGATCATTCATCCATGAGGTCATGATTGTGGGGTCTGCYGGTCGCCTCATAGCTCGTGGGACTGACTTGTACGGGCAGAAAAACACGGCGCTCCAGGAAGAACTACTGTTTACAGACTCTCTGCCTGTCAACAAGGGCCTTTTGGATAAGGGCTTTAAAGACATCCCGCTGCTTTACCTGAAAGGAATGGTGTACATGGTGCAAGCCCTGCGGCAGTCTTTCCAAGACCAGGAAGACCGTCGGACATGGGATCATAAACCTGTGTCTATGGCAGCCTCTTTTGAAGATGGTCTGTACATGCAGAGTGTGGTAGAGGCCATCAAGAAATCMAGTAGGTCAGGTGAGTGGGAGACTGTGGAGGTGATGACTGAGGAACCAGATGCCAACCAAAACCTCTGTGAGGCACTTCAAAGAAATAACTTATGAACATTCCTACCTTGGAAAATAGGACAATTAACACTTCTGGCTGTAATGTAAAAAAAAAAAAAAACTCTGTTTTTAAGATATGTAGATTCTTATTTAATAGCCTGAGTTTCTTGGTTTTTTAAAACATGTAAAATATGTTCTGATAGGAACTGTTCTGGTTTWAATTGTTTAAAAGTGTTTTAAATGTTTCAGTTTTTTGCAAACATTTAATTTTTGTCTTGGAGACTGGTAGGAAAACTTGAATTGCCCTTTGCACTTGCAGTAGCTGAAGTGAATTGYGGGATCTCTGCCGTTGTGTGGCTTGGAAAGGGGACACAATCCCTCTTGCACAGGTTGGTAATTTAACCATGAGAGCACGTAGAGCAAGATCAGGGAGTATCTGTTGTTCAGATGCCTTTTTCTTCTCTCTTGGACACTGATTTACATTTTAATCCTCAGTTTGTAAAATTTTATAAAAGAGTTCAGTGATGTAACAGGTCTCTAAACTCCTGTAGGACAAAAAGTAGAAGGAATGGATTAAAGYTAGTAACATAAGGATCAGCCATTTGGCTCCTGTATGCGGTAAATGTTTTTCAAATTCATTCAAACTGGTGTTTTATTTAAATGATACTATAATTCTCTGTTGTTGGTGTCTTGGCAGGAAAATCTTCAGGAAGTCTGTGATGCATTGAGCTATCCTTCCATATCTGTAGACAKTATTCTTTCTACTCAAGAGGCTCCCTGCATCCAGCAGGTTTTTTTCCATAAGCTCTGTGCCTGTCAGTTGTGTTTACTGCCTGGCAGCACCGGTGCCGTGCCTGTGAGGCCACACTCCATTTCTGTGACTGTTAATAAATAAATGCCTCCCAGAGTCATGGGATTGCCACRGTGTCGTGGGTAACAAAGTTGTACAGGATTAACCTTTCAGGGACCTGAAAGTGGAAGGAAGGAGGTATTTCCTACCTCTTGCAGCTCTCTTAATGTGCTGGCTGGGTAACTGTCACACTACACACATCCTGATAGTTGAGAGAACAGGGACTGAACTGCCATGGGTAAATGTGCTCTTGATCTCAAACACTGGCTATTAACCCTCTGGCCCAGCCCATCCTCCCACTCTTCTGCAGCTGGGGTCCAGTGGAGAGATTTGTTGGCAGATGATGGGGTGGAAGTTCATTCCTTTTGAGAAATGTTTCTCTCTGAGGCAGGTATGTGGAAAGGATAGTCTAATTTTATTATGTTTGTTTTGTGTACTTGAAAGCTTTTTTTTTAATGTATTTCCCACTAAATTGTAACCCTGTGTATTTATGTATATTAACATGCACACTGCTGTTTCATAAGCTGGATCTTCCTGAAAAGTATCATGTTTTCTACAGAAATAAAAAGTTGTGTTTGTTGAGGGAATACTCTATGCAGTTGGGTGCTTCAGTTGGATTTGGCCAAGCTAAAACCATGCTAATAAAAGTGAACAGGAGAACTCAGATCTGGGATTCTGTATCTGGTGAGTCCTTCCCTACTCGTTGTAGAAGTTGCCAGAAGACACCAAGTAAGAAACAAAATCGCTGCAGTATTGATGGGACCACTTTCCTTGATTGGTGTGTAAATTGGGTATTTACCTTTGGATATTTACTTTCCAGACTCTTAAGAAAACAGCTACTACTACTACTACTACTGTGCTGTTTAAAGGGTAGGAACATGGCTGCTCCTATGCTCTTATCTSTGCTGTGAGCTGTGTGAAGGAAATGAATGGTTAAGTTCCATATTAGGAAAARGTTCTTCACCCAGAGGGTTGATTTCATGCCAGGGTCTGTTTTGAAGCTGTTGTTCTGGAACTGAGAACCTTCTTTTCTTTGTGCCTTTGTCACTATCTTTGTATTGGGCAGAAGATTCTAAAGTATAGCTCCTTCTCTAGGAGAAGGAAACACAAAACATTTCCAGAGGATCCCAGTGGAGGAAGGAGGGTGCCGAGACTCCTGGGTGAGAAGAAGACGACCACAGAATTRTGCGGAGAGGTGAAAGAGGCTTCTCATGGGCTGCCTACAGCCTGGAGCTGCCCTGCACAGGCAGAGCGGGATGGTGACCASAGGAGCGCTCCTTTGGACGAGGCGKATCCCGGCCGTGAAGCCTGCATTCCCCCGTGCAATCCCCGTTTSTCTAGCGCAGATGGGTTTAGGGACCGGGGCCGGCTCGGGGGTCAGTGTGTGCCCGGGCACAGCCGGCGGGAGGGAGCAGAGAGAGCAGAGGGAGCAGCGCTGGGGCGCTCCGGGCCGGGCCCGCCCATCCCGGCGGAAGCGGCCGTTGCCGGGGAGCGGCGGGGCCGGGCCGGGCTCTCGGCTACCGGCGGSTGGGCCCAGCCCAGCCCGGCCCGGCCGGGAGCGCTTCTCCGCGGCCTYCCTCGGTGAGTCCTCTCGGGGCAGCCCGCCGGGGCTCGGGGGCGGCGGGGAACCGGGCCGGGAAGCGCCGGGCCCGGGGCAGGGGCAGGGCCCGCGGGGGAGGCTGCGGGGCCCCGGCCGGCCCGGCCACCCCGTGCTGCTGGCAGAGCCCCCCGAACCGCTCTCCCCGGGCCAAGGGAGACAGGAAGGTCCCGCAGGGGTGTCCCGTCCCCGGTGGTGTTCGTTCCCCGGCGGTGTCCCGTCCCCGGTGGTGTCCGGTCCCCGGTGGTGTTCGTTCCCCGGCGGTGTCCCGTCCCCGGCCGTGCCCGCTGTCTCTCAGCGCGGTGCCGGCACTCAACACGTGTCCCCAGGCAGGGCTGGTGCCAGCTGGTTCCCGTGCCAGCCCGGCCGGAGGAGTTGGGGGCTGCCTCGCTAACTCCAGGCTCAGCACGGAGCTCGTCCTTACATGCGAGAGGAATCCCACGCGTTGAGATGGGGTCTCCGTGTCGTCATCTGCCCTTGCCCCGTAGAGAAGTCTGGGCTGCAGCTCTGTAACACCCACATCAGATTCTGTCCATCTTCGGCTCCTGCCCCAGCTCCTGCAGGACACACGTCTGGCTCCCTGGGCCGGCTATCCAGCCTGGCTTTATTCCTAAAGAACTATTGGTAGACACCAGCTCACAGAAAACATGTTCAACATGCTAATAGCAGTATTGCACTTGGCTGTAGCTGTCCCTCTGTTTTCAGAGAGACGAAAGAAAAATTGTTTTTTTGAGACTGGTGGGTGGTTAAGAGCTGGTGAGACCTGAGGAAACCTGTGTGGGGAATAGTATTGAAAAGAGAATATTAATCTCTTCTATAGCAGTCAGCAAGGAGAAGGCTTAGGCAGGGACAAAAACCACTGGGKAGTTTCACAGCACATTGACCTCAATTCCCGACCCCCAGTTCTTCAGGAGGAACGGTCACAGATCCAGGTATCTCACTGTTTTGGTGAAGCCTCGGGCATGGAAGTTATCCTGATGTGACTTTCCATTTCAGCTAAAACTGTTGAGGAAGGAATCAWACATACAGGACCAGCTGCACGGAGATTAGCCCTTTGATTTGCTGCAGATGACTTGCTCTGCTTATCACAGCTTATCACAACCGTGGGATGTTTTTTCCCATGGTTTTTGCGGAGATTGGCTCAYGAAGGCAAGAAGCTGGGCTGGCGTCAGCTCTGTGTGTGGTAGCAGCTTCCTGGCCAGGGATCCAGGCCCAGTGAAAATATTATCTGTGAGGAAAAGGTATTGCTTCACATCATATGCAGCGGTTTCAAGGCTGTGAAATACACCTGCCTGAGGCTTGTCTGTTCCCGTGTTTTGCAGTTGCCTTAACTACCATGCCAAAAACAGGCCACAAAAGGAAGCTGTGGTTCTTAHAGGCTCTGAAAGGGCTCAGTTCACCAGGGTTATAAGTACCATTTTTACCACTTGGTCAGCTGCAGCAGAGGTCACAGAGAGTCGAGTTAATGGTTATTAAACTTACAGATACTCTGTGAGGGAAAGAGGGCTGGAGCTGCATTGCTTGGCACCTAGGCCAGCACAAAGCCCTGGTTCTGCTGAAGAGAGCAGCCCTCTAGGGTGACTGAGCARTGCTGGAGTTGTTGGGTTACTCCAGCAACTGCCCTGTGTCTCCTGTAGCAGCACRGGGTGCCTGGGAGCTGTGACTCTCCTGGGGAGTCTGCAGGCTGGCAGGGTGGAAGAACAGAGAGCAGCTGCACACATACATCTGTTTGCCTGGACTCATTCAGAGTTTTGCAGAGTGTGCCTGTATCTCACAGCCTGTGAATGCAGAGATGGTGTCTGTGTGGTGGCAGCAGGTCGGGCACTGCTTAGGTTGATGTTTAGGTWTGTGATGTGATAGAGGAGATGCTTTCTGGGTGCTCAGGGCACTGCCAAGAGGACTGACCCTGTTCCCTTATCCCTCTACATCATGTTCATAAGTATGTGCACCCACTGTGTTTCCCTGGAGCTTGCTCCAGTGCTTCTCTGATCCCTCTCTGTAGGTAAAAGCTGGTTCCTTTTGGACAAAAGCAGAAAATGAGCTCAGTGAARGAAGTGGACTTGTTTGATGCAGGGGTGGTGAGTGGAATTGGCTCAGCACTGGACTGGTTGTGCTGCAAAGCTGTCCCAAGAAACGAAGCAACTGGGAATGGCAGCACAGGAGGTCACACATCCCCTTTTGGCAGGAGTGGGCCATGAGGGTCTCTCACTTGTGTCCCCCAGATAGGCCTGTGGYCAGCAGGAGCAGAGCAGCAGCTCTGAAGGCTGTACCAGTGGTTGGTAACTGAGGTTTGGCAGCTGCTTCCCKGGGCTGGGAGACTGCTGCTGGGGCATTTGTCCCTCAGGTACCTGCACAGGCCAGATGCTCCCTGGTGTAATGAGGTTGTCTGATCTTGCAGGATCCCAAGCCAGAGGTGATGTGACTTGCAAATCAGGGAGTGGGTGTCATTTGCAAATTCCCTGCAGCAGGGCAGGGTGCAGTTGGGATGTGAAGGTATAAAACCAGCCTTCCATCCCCCGCCTCCCATCACCTTGCCTTTCCTCCTTCAATCCCCCGCAATAATTGTCTGCTCTGTTRCAGGTCTTGATTTCAGCCTGTCATTTTGCGTGTAAATCACTGGGTTGGGACTCGAGTTCAGATCAAGATCAGATGTGCATTTCAAAGCCGGTAGCTCTTCTGGAGTGATCTCATGGTGAACGCTTGTTTTTTTTTTTTTTCTCTCTAGAATAAGAGAGCCTGTTCTGGCTTAGTAGGATCCACTATCAAGGAGATTAAATAATACCAAGCCAGCATCCTTTTATCTCTGGCTGAGAGTCTGTGCCTGCTTTTCAGAAATAGCTTTTCCAGAGCAGCTGGCTRCAGGCTGCACATGCATGCTGGTGTGCAGCAGTCAGCACTGCTTACATTGCCTCTGCTGTTGTGTCCAGGAGATGAATAACAGCATTTTGCTAATGGGTCTCATGTCAACAGGGGTGATTTAGCAAGGAAGACTGCAGTGCATTAGTTGCTATGACTCAGACTCGCTCATCCTTGCACTGATCGTTTATTGGTTTATAAATTAAACTGCAGATGCTGCGTCCCGTCAGTGCGGGCATGCCGAGGATCCTGAAAGGGGTTCTTCCCATCRAGTTGTCTCAGAAATGTTTAAATTACTGCCTCAGGAGTCAGGGAGTGCGGGTTGTAGCCCCAGCTCTTGCAGCATTGACTCCAGCCGAGCTGTCCTGGCGCCTGTCAGAATTGTGGTGTGAGGCTCTTGTGGCATCTGCTGAGAGCTGGCCAGCAGTCTGTGCCTGCTGGTGTGGCATCCTGCATCCTTGTGTTCTGAGCAGGGAGAAAAGTCCCTCAGGTTTCTTGGAGGCATAAAAATGCTGTCCAGGGGATCTTGGTGAACAGTGCAGGGAAATTGATGCTGGCTGCTCCTGTCCCTTCCTGCTGGAAGGGTCTGTGCTTCTGTCATGGGAGGCAACAGGGACCTGTGTGGGCCAGGGCAGGGACTTGTGGGTCTATGCTGCTTTGAAAAGTACCTGAGAAATGAAAAAAAAAAAAAAAAAGATGTTTTTCTAAGCAAATAACTTTGTTCTCCCCAAGACCTGAGAAACCATCTGGGCTCTTCCCCAGAAATCCGGTGTCTGCTCTTGCATGATCCTGTAGTGAAGTGTTTTGTCTTTTTGTGAAGTGTTTGTCCTTCTGAGAGTCAGCCCCAGCCTGTTTAGGGGTGGTGACAGCACCGGTGTGTTCACATGGAGGATATGGCCATGTGGGGCAGCAGCTTCAGCTTCCTCTGGMCAGGTTGTGTTTGGAGCCCAAGGTAGAAAATAATTCGGATCTCGGGCTAGTACCTGTCAGATGATGGCCACCTACCTTGTGTTTTCTGTTCACTCCTTCAGTGTCTGCATTAAATGTTTCCATGTGGCAGAACAAAGCCAGGAAAGATTTTTTTGTATCAAGGTACCAATATTATAGCAACTGTGGACATGTTCAGCACTGGTAAAAACACTGATTAGACCCACACTAGGGACAGTGCTGCTGGATCCCTTGTTTCACCTGCATGAAGTTCAATTTGGGGTGGTTTCTACCTGCAGGACATCTCTGTAGCTGTGGGTGAGCTCTCTAATGAAGGTCAGAAATTCCCTTATGCATATATCTATATAAATATATAAAATACAGCTTTTCAGTGGCTCTGAAAAGTGAGCTCTGCTCATTTCTGTTCTCAGTGCTGGTTGGTTTCTGTGGCAGAGTGACGTGTGGCAGGATGTGTGAAGGRCCATCCAGGATTTCTGGACCTATTCCTCCAGACCCAACACTGTTTCCAGAGTATTACAATCACCCTTTCTCAGGTGAGTCTGTGGTGCTTGTTACAGATCTGGGGGTTTGTGCTTTTGTGTGAACAGCTTGATGTCCTTATCCCTTGGTGTGCTTGACAGTCTCTATTCACACTGATGAAGGTGCTTCTGATGGTGATCCTAAAGTGGTCTGTACTGGCTGAAAGATGGGAAAGCATAAGGGTATCTTTATATTGTGGGCTGTGGGAAGGGAAAAAACTGAGGTAAGAAAACTGAGGTAAGATAATTTCCTGACAGAGTTCTCCTTTTTCTTTCTCTGCAGCTCGAGGGAGGCTGGAAGGAAATGCTCAGAAGCTGTATTTGACCTCTGGCCCCCTGGACCCAGTTCCCAAGCCACACTYTGCTTTGGGCAGTGCCCGCCAGGCCCAGGCAGCCCCTCGCATTCGCCCCAGTGGAAGGGATTTCCTGGAGAAGGGACAGAAAGGGACACTCAGCCTCTTGCTGCAGCTCGAAGGCATCTCCCTTGATGGGGGGCTGCCAGTCAAGAGTAAGTAGAGCCAAGTCACTGCTGGCCTGAGTTACCTTTGGGGCCAGGGGTGAAGCTTTGGGGATTTGGGGTGGATTGCCAGGATCTGCTGCCTGAGGAGAGCTTGAGCTGCACAGGGCTGGTCACCCCATCTCCAGCTTTTGGCCAGTGGAGTCACCTGTGCTGAGCCAGTGATGTTTTGGGCTCCCTGCCTCCAGTCTCAGGTTTAGAATGGGAAGAGGGACTTGTAAAAAGGTATAAAAAATTTGGACTTCTTTATAGTCAGGCTTATATATGAACTAAGTTAAACCATAATGTATTGAGGGCATTTAACATGGCAAGTTCCTTGCTGGTGAAGCCAGGCAGGATTTGGGAGGAGTGTCTGTGTACGTGGATATGAGAACATCGTTGCAAAAGATGTTCCCTTCTCCAGGGATATCACCAGTATACATTCAGAGGTCCGGGAAGGAGGTAAAGTTGAGCTCTGTGTGTTATTTTAATTCACTTCATGTGCTGGCATTGCCCTGAGCCTGGTGCCCGTGTGGTGGATGCCACTGCTGTGTCCAAGCAGGGGGTATTGGACGAGGGTCTGGTTGTGTCAGCTGAGATATTCCCTGTCTTGGGGAGCCCAAGGAAGGATAATTTTTGATTCAAAAACAATCCATAAAAACCCATCATTTATAATCTTGATTCTGTCCACTTGAATGTGGGACAATGGCTGACCCTGAAACCAGGAGCAGCACAAGTTCAAGGCTCTGCAGCTCTCCARCCCTCTCCACTTCAGAAACACCATGGGAACTGAACTGGGAATTGATCTTGCTCTTGAGAGATGCTGCATAGCTTGTCTGGCATAAACTGGGAGAGGTGGAGAGCAAGGGAATCTGTGAACACCATCAGCATGCACARCCTGTGCTGATGCTCATCTGGGCACAGAGTCACTCTGGGAATGTGCATCTGACATGGGCAGGATGCAGAGATGGTCTGGTCTGCAGGAAAAGGGAGAGCTTGCTGGCTCTCTGGGCTGTTGGACCAGCTTTGGAACAGCTGTGGGCTCTGGTGCCAGTGCTCCAAGAGCCTGCACCCCATGGCAGTGTCTGGGAGGTGAAGCTGTGTCTCCCCTTGCTGTGCAGGGAAAGAGGCCAAGGACTACGAGAAGGAAAATGTGAGGCGGATAAGGGAGATCCAGAAGAAGTGCAAAGAGAGGGAGCGAGCCCAAGAGCACAGCCAGCCCAAGCCTGTGAAAGCTCTGTGGAAGTCCCAGAAATATGAAAATGTGGAGTCAAAGGTGAAGGCCAAGCTGCAGGTTGGTACCTATGGAGCTCTTGAGCTCTCCAGCCTTGGGATGTGGCTCAGCCACGAGGGATGGTGGACAGTGGATACAGAGGAGTCCAGGACCCTGCAGGATCTGGGGGCACCTCAGTGCTGAGGCACAAGGGGCAGATGTGGCAGTGGGGCTGTGAGTGGTTTGGGGCAATAACCTCTGTCCTGCTTCCCCCTCGTAGCCATATTTCCTGCCAAGGGATGCTCCTGTCTGGCTTTTCTGYTTCCCTGTGTTTGGGGCAGTGCTTCTCTGTGCCCAAAGGCTGTGGCATTTTACCCCACAAATTGTGGTTTTCAGAGGTGGATCTGCAGGAGGCATTGAGCCTCAGTGCAGCTCTTCCCACCCTGTGGATACCCAGTGGGCAGTGTGTATCCACACATTCTTCTCCAGGTGATTGTCCTGGTGAATAACCACTGCCCAGTGAGGGCACACAGACATCTCCAGSCTCAGAGATCAGCACAGCCTGTCAGGGTGCTGAGATGGAGCCTGCAAGTTCCTCCTCATCTCTGAACTGCTTCCCTTTCATCTGTGGCCAGCTTTTGATGCTAAAACAATGTGTATTGATAACAACTGCAAAAATTGGCAAGATGATTCCCAAGCCAGTGGTTCCAAGTGCTGTGTCCCTTCTTCCTGGTGTGTCACCAACCTCTCTGATGTTTGTGACCCTTCCACACATGGGAGCAAACCCACGAGTGCTTCAAGARCACAAGCCTACGCTCTTGTTTGACAAATTAGAGGAAGATTGAGCTCATTCCTTCCTTTGTTTTGGGGGAAGGGGGTGGTCTCTGCGCAGGCAGTTTCTGCGTGGTGTGTTACTTGTGCTCTGTGTATTCCTCCAGAGAGGCCCTGGCACTGACTCACGATGCTTTAACTGTTGCTGAGGCTCTCCTGGAGCTGAGGTGTTCCCTGTGAAGGATCTCCATCTTCTGTGGAGCTGTTGCTGCTGCTCAGTTTCAGCTGATTCTGCTGGATGTTGATGACTAATGCAGAGTTTCTTTTCTCTCCTCTGTCCCTGAGGCTGTTAACTGCAGCAGTTGCCTTGGAAAGGGCTCTGGCAGTCCCAGTGCTCCCAGGGAGGGAGATGGGGTGCAGTGTGCTCTGTGCTCCTGGGGTCACAGACTCAACTTGGAGCCAACTGGTGGAGCTAAAGGCACTTCTCCTTAACCTACCATTCCCTGCTGAAACAAGGCTGATCATCTTTGGAGCATGAACAGTCTGAGCAGTGGTGAAGCCATCCCATACCCTGCTCCTTACACCAAACCCACCCATGTGGCTGCCCAGTCCCACCATCGGTCTGTAGGTCTGGCCAGGCAAGAGGGAATCTTCCCCAGGGAGCTGCAGTTCAGCTGAGTCCTTGGGCAGAGATTTGGGGCTGCCCTGTGCAGTTCCCATCCCTGCCAAGAGCAGAGCAGTGCCCTAGCTGCATTTATTGTAAGGTCACCCCTTGCCACAGTGACAACTTTCCATTTTCAGGGTTTGTTTGCAACAGGACAGTCTGAGATAATCCCAGACATCAACTACTGTCACCCTGCATCTTTGCTAACCACAGCCACTGAAGATGCCCCTCAGATGCAATTCCACCTTTACTCTCTGCTCCTTTTTCTTTCCAGAGTGATACAACCACAGATTTGAGGTGCTGAGCAGAGCAGCACAAGAACATCACCTCAGCAGGCAGCTTCGTGCCTGCCTGTTTGATCCAAATGTGTTCCTGCAGATTCCCCCCCATTTCATAGTGATCCTTTGCCAAGTTCAGTTGCCAGGTCCTGATCTGTCGCTGTCTGTGGCTTTTGCTGGCTGACTACAGATTGTCTTCCCCCAAGAACTTCTTCCAGCTCATGGCAAAAAGCGTGTGCTGTTGTGTGCTGGCTGGAAATGCATGGCTGAGCTCATGGTTGACCACCCAAATTTGGCTGGGAGGGTTTCTCTTTGCTCCAGCCTCCCTCCAATAGTGGATCTTCTTTTGCTTTTCCCAGGAGACCTCCCCAGCTCCAAATCCCGAGGCTGTGAATTTCCTGAGGGCGTATTCTCGCTGTGGCTCTGGGATCAAGCCATGCAGACCACCGTCCCCAAGGCCTGTCAGAGCAAAAGGAGCAGACACAGRGGCTCCACAGGGTGCTGAAACCAASGTGAGTTACACTTTAACTGCATCCATCCCAGGGATTTCTGGCACTCATCCATGGCTCCTGCCTTGAGCTCTTCGTGTGGTCTTCTAAAGTGTTGGGTCAGATGTGCTGCATGAGTGGGCAGATCTGTAAATACATGTTAAAAAATAAATGTTCCTGTCTGAAGGGAAGGAGCAGGGTTTTGGTCACTGGGATGCTGAGATGGGTGTTCAGGGATTGCTAATGCTGCCTTCTGACTTCATCCTCACTTGTAGTTAAAGAGATTATGAAGTTCCCTTTGGAAATTCCACCTCCTCATGCCAGCGATCTCAAATCTGCTCTTCCAAGCACTTTGCAGKAGGTCTTKGGGATTTGGAGGCTGTTCCCACTGYAATCAAAGAAACTGTGGCTTCTGGATGTTAGATAAAAATTTGGGAAATGGGTGTGTGTTTTAGTAAGGAGAATTAAATCATCATTAATAGTTAAACCTTTCAAGTAGTCTGTTTGGGAGGTCTTGAACAGCTCCATGAGTCATGTCCTTTTCCCTTGGCAAGTGTGAGGTTGTCAGTTTGTTGGTTCCTAAATGCCATGAATGACTTAATTAAACAGGACATGATCTCCAAAGGAGGAAAACCTTAAATGCAACACAGCCACCTTCTCCCCTGTTTTATCCAGCAGAGGAGCTGTGGTGGAGATGCTGTCTCTGGGGAAATGCCCCAAGGATCAGCAAAGTTCCTGCTCTGCCAGTTGCATTTCCCTTCCTCGTGAGGACCCAGCCTGTTTTTCCTCTGCCCTCAAAATGCACCAATAGGAGCCATGGGGACTATGTCAAGCTGGTTTTTTTACCATCCTTCTGGCTTTTAAGGCATATGGTCATCTTGGTGACCTTAAAGATGCCAGGTTTCAGCTTGGCTTTTGGTGCCTGCCTTCTCAAAACATGGCCATAGCTCCTGCCTGTGTACAGCTAAGACGGGCTGTGCCGAGGCTCTCCCTGTCCTGCTGTTACACAATTCAGCATCCTGTGTGGTGCCTCTTTGCTTTTCCCCTCGTGTGCACGTTCCCAGCCTGCCCTCCATGCCTTGCTCTCTGTTTCCCAGATGCAGGTGGAGGGCAGGAGCATTGACTTCATCAGGCACAACGCCTGCACCGCCAAGCGGGCCCCGCTGCGCCGCTCGCAGTCCCTGCAGGCGCTGGCAGAGCTGCTGGAGCAGAAGCACCGTGAGCAGGAGGAGTACAATGCCAAGCAGAAGGGCCACGTCCCCCAGTAGTATGTATGCCCCTGTCTGCTCCTGAGACTGTGCCAGCTTTGATTGCTTCTGCCCGGGGAGATGGGCCGTGCACAGAGGCAGCAGTGCAGTGTGCTGACCTGGGGAGTGAACGCTGTCCCTGCTGCTTTTTGATGGAACCAGCATCCCAGTGTGCCCAGTGTGGCAGGGCTCAGAGGGAGTTTTATCCCTGCCTCCCTTGCTTGCTGTTGTACAGTGGTGTTCACATGGGGATGCTCCATGTGCCTTGATAACTGTGCTCCTGCCCCTTTGGAAGCTTTGCTCCATGGGATGTGGCTTTGGTATTGAAAGGTCTGGTTTTGAGGAGGCAGAGAGCTCGCTCTGCCTCACAGGTGTTCATCCTGCCTTGGACCAGGAGTCTGAGGAACATCCAGCTAGTGCTGCGCACTTTGGGGTTCTGTGTGGAAAACAGTTCCTGGGTGACCCTATCGTAGGAATGACCATGATGCAGATCCTTTAACCCCATGACATCCCTGACCATGAGCTGCTCTGATTTCACTCTGCCACTGGCCCACAGATGGTGTGTCAAGGACTCAGTGAGCCAGAAACGAGGAGCAGCAGCCCTTGTCACCAAGGAGCACACGCTGGCCTGAGTGCATCTCCCCAGCTGCCCTTTGGTGCGTGTGGAGCACATTTGCTCATCTACACACGTGGGTTAAACKGTGAATCCCCCATGATGAGGGTGTGCCAGTGTGTGTGTCCCTGTGATCCCAGTGACACCGAGCCTGGCAGGGTTTGTAGGGTGCATTCCTGACCTCTCCCTGTGCTCCTGGGCCACCCCTCCTGCCAGATGTGCTGACCCCTGCTCTCCTTTGCCCTCCTGGCAGCCTGCTGGACAGGAAGGAGCTGTGGCGCAGGCAGATGGAGGAGCGGCTGCGGAACCTGCCAGACCCCGACACTCCTCCCGGTCACACCATGATGCCCGAGAGCCAGCGGCTGGACACCCTCRGCAGCCTGATGCAGAGTAAGAGGAAAGGAAACGGGGATTCCAGCTCAAAGAGGCGATCCTCGGCAGGATAAGGGAGAAGAGACATGGGGGCACAGATTCCTGCCACTTGGAGAGTTGCCTGGGTTAAGGCATATGTAGGCAGGATGTGAATTGTGTGCATGGAAAGAGCAATCGATGTCCTGCAGGATACAGGACTGGCTCTCTGGAGCAGATTTGTCTGAGGTTGCTATTGCTCCTAAAATGTAGAAAGATTTTGGTTGGAAGGGACCTTCAGAGGTCTCTCTTCAATCCATGGTTCTTCAAAGCTGGAGCAGGTCCCTCGGGGCCTCATCCAACTAAGCTTTGAAAGGGATTCTAGGATCCTGTTCCAGTGCTGCCATCATATTCATGGTAAAAGCACTAGAAAAAGGATGGATTTCTTTGCTCTTCAACTTACACAACTTGTTTTTTTCTCTTTTCACAGGCCAGGAGCAGCTGATAAAGGACCTGGTTCTGCTGCCAATGCGGGGAGACAGCCTCAAGTTGCAGAAGAGGCGGGTAGAGCTCGAGAGGAAGCTCTCCCAGATAGAAGAAGCAATCAAAATTTTCTCAAGGCCCAAGGTTTTCATCAAGCTGGACTCCTGAGCTGGGGCTGGGTGTGCTGTGCTGCTCTGCCTGGACATCCTTCGTTGCTGGGCAGGAACGGATGTCACTGTGGGAGAGAAGGAGAGGAAGCAGAGTTCCAGATCTTGGACCCATGCAGCTGGCATCTCTTTCTCACCTTTCAGTGCTGTGTCTTGTCCACAGAAAAGGGAGGGAGATGCCCTAATAAAGGGCCCTGCTCAGTGGKCTTGAGAGCAGTTGTCTGTGCTGCTTGGGTTCTTACAGAGAGCAGCTCTCTGCTCTGGATTTGTGGCATCACCTCTTATTTTCCCTTTTTTCTTACTTCTAGAAATCGGTAGGAGGTATCTTGTGCTGCTCCCTGTAATATTTCTTGTCACCCTCTTTCTCCTGAGCTGGACCATGTTCATGGCTGATCCTGAGCACCTGAGGGCTCAGGGGACAGCTTGGGGACAAGGATGAAGCACAGAGCTCAATGTTTTCTGCCCAGGGAAGGGCTGGGCTGTCAGGGAGGTCTGGTGAGATGTTTGGAAGAAGCCTGTGTAGTCTGTGGGGCAGGAGATGTTCCAATAAAGCATCATTTCCATCTTGCAGTGCATGTGCAGCTCACAGTGGGCCCAGCAGGGCCTGAGGGGTGGTGTGGGCAGCAGGAACCAGCAGCACCAGCACGGGGCAGACAGGGGCTGGGTGCTGGGACTCTGGTTCACTCTGGTGAACGTGGAGTGGAGATGTGCACAATCCTGCTGGATCTCCATCCACATGTTGGCAGGACAGGTGCCATCCTGGAGGTGAGCTTGCTGCTTCCTTACCTTCAGATGCCAYGCAGAGATACCTGTGCAGACCTTTGCAGGGATCCTGCTGCATGAAGCAAAGGAAAATTTAAGCTGTAAGGGATCATTGGAAGGTTTGGTGCATCTCCTGCTCAGTGGAGACACAGTGCTGCAGCTTGGAGCCATATCCAGCTGAATTAGGGGAATCTCCAAGGATGGAGTTGTCCCGATTACCTTGGCTGGGGCTGTTTCCAGACAGTGCTGCCCTCAGGGGGAACCCTTCTTCCCCTGACATCCCATCAAGTTTTCCCTTATTGCAGCTTGTGCCATTGCTCTGTCTCCTTTTGCTACACAGGGTGGGGATACTGTGCATGGATCCCCCAAGCAGCTGCCTKATTGCAGGGCTTGCTCCATCCTCGGCAGGATTTTGTGGGGTGGGGATGTTGTGAAGTGTTCCAGCCCTGCCTGTGCCACCTGGCACACTGCAGTGCCCTGGGATGCCAGGCTGACGCTGCTGCCAAGGACCAGGGAAACTTTTGGCACTCGAGAAGTGGAGGAGGTGAGATGCCAGCTGGGAAATCACCTCATGTGCCCCTGGGGCCACCTCAGGGCAAACCCCACAGCCAGGCTKAGCCGGCTGGACGAGAGTGACTGGGGGCATGGGCACAGCCCCAAACAWGCCTGGGCTAACCAGCCCTGCTGCCAGATCTGCTCTCTGGTCTGTCTGGGCCCTGGCTGTGTGCCATGAGTGTCCTTAGCCCTCGCTGCTGTCCCTGCCTGAGGCTCTGGATGGAGAGTTGGAGCTGGCTTTTCAGACCCTGAGAGCTGCAGGTCTTCCTGCTCACCAGTCCCACCACATGCCCTTAGCAGCAGGCCACTGAGAGGTCCCTGGGTTTATAAAGCCCTTGACAAAACAGGCAGGAGAGCAAACACAGCCAGGCCCTCGGTGCTGATCCAGCCCTGCTGCTCCTGTGTGGCTGCTGGTGGGATTTTGGGTACAGCAGCACAGGGAGCTGCCTGTGCTTTGGTTCTTGGGGATCAGCAAAGACATTGGGACACAGCTCCCCCTTTCCAGCAGAGGTGACCAGCTCTGAGCTGGCTGTGGTGTGCACTGCAGTACCTGTGCTTGGACACCCCTGCCCTGAGCTCAGGGCTGCAGGAGGATGGGGCTGCATCATTCCCAGCAGCATTTGCAGGGCTGAGTGACAGTCAAGGTGCTGCTGCCACACCGGTGTCCCCTGCGCTGGTGAGAGCACTGCAGTGGGGACAAGGTGGGAATGGGGGGGCTGAGCAAGGCTCATTGCATCAGACCACACCAAAGCTTCCTGAACATGTGCCATGGGCAGGCACGATGGGTCTCGGTGGGGTCACCCAGCACAGCACCAAAGCCACAAGGTGCACCAAGGTCACTGCTCCCAGGCTCTGCCTTACGTGCACAGGGCTGGGGTACCAACCCGCTGTGCCCTTCCTCCCAGTGGTGACACGAACCAGGGACAAGCACGGCGCTTTCTAGAAAAGGTTTTACTGTCCATTGCAATATATTAATGATGCATATTTCAATAAAACAATTAAAAACCCCCGCTTGCTTGGAAGGGGAGGCAAGGGGGCTCACAGGGGCAGTGCCCGGCTCGAGTGGGCGCCGCAGTGGGGCTCCCGGGGTTGCRGGGGGTGGGAGAGGGCAGTGGGCAGCCCCTCTCCACCCCTGCCCGCCGGCCGCATCATCACCCCCGTGTCCACATCCAGCTCGGATGAGAAACCCAGAAACCCAGCTGGCCACCGAGTGGCACCGACCCCCTCAGCTATAGGGTGAGGAGGGTGCCATCCTCCCGTCCGCTGCCCCGGCCCGGGCTGCCATCGTGGCTGCCCAGGGACTGCAGGGAGCCCCGCGAGCTGTGTGGGGACAGGCTCCTCCGGAGGGGTCCGTCCACAGGACCCCCGTTGGGGCAGCCCCCGGGGATGTAGTGGGACGCGCTGTCGCTCTCGATGACCAGGTCRCCCTCCTCGTCGCTCTCGGCCGTGCTGTAGTTGCTCAGGTACTGTGAGGCCGGGCTGGGGGTCTGTTGGCTGGGGGTGCTGTCCGTGGACATGCCGGAGCTGCCCGAGGCCTTGCTGCTGCGGATGACGTTGTTGCGCTGGTTGGCCGGCTTGACCGTGATGATGAGGTTGTGGCTGTTGGCCACCATCATGTCCGTCACTTGGTCCAGGGACTTGCCGGCCACRTCGATGCCGTTCACCTCCAGGATCTCGTCGCTCACCGCCAGCAGCCCCGTGCTCTCGGCCAAGCCGCCCTTCACCAGGCGGGAGATGAAGATGCCGGGCACCTTCTCGACGCCCTGCGGGGCCACGCGCACGCTGACGCCGTCGCGGATGTAGAAGCCCAGCGGTTTGTCGGAGCCGTGCTTGTGCAGCCGCACGCGCCGGTGCGTCTCGGGCAGGATGTCCACGTCGATGATGGAGGAGATCTGGCGGAAGTCCTGGGGCATCCCGATGAGGAGGTGAGGCTTGGCCCTGTAGTGTGCTGGGCGCAGCAGCCCCTTCTTCTTCCTCTGCAAGGAGTTGGAGGCAAAGACGCTGGCRTCGGACTCGGCTGCAGGGAGCAAGGGAGGACACAGGTCAGGCACGGCAGCTGCTGGGGATGCAAATGCGTATCCTGGGCCCCAGGGGTTGGGGCAGTGGTCAGGAGAAGGGCTCTGCTCACAGGTCTCACCGGCTTTTCCTCCCCAGATCATCAGCCTGGCTTTCCCTGCAGCCTGTCTCCGCTGGGGCCCATCTCCTGGGATTACCCAGCGTACACAGGCACACAGGCCAGGATTAGTGGGATCGAGGCAGTGATTCAGCCTTAATCACACTTTAAGCCAAACTCTGCAGTTTAACACTAGAGCTGCCAGCCCTGATGGCCTGGGAGCTGCAGCCATGCCCCAATTTGGATTTTGGGAGAGAGGACCCCCCTCATGAGTGTGCTGTCGTGGCAGCCAACTCCTTTAGGGTGAGTCCAACCCCAGGAGACAGCGCTAGAGTTCCCTGCCCCACTAGAGCAGGGCTGTTGCTGGCATGGGCTGGTCATGGTCATCACTGTGTCCTACAGAACTCTGCCATCCCCAAGGACAGAGACTCCCCACCTCCTGGAAATTCATCCCAGGGCTGCAGCATCCTCAGGGCCCCTGAATATCTCAGACTGTGATTTGCATCAGYGTCTCTTATTCCACCATCAGGCACCGTGACACAGAGTTTGACTCTCTCCTTCTGGACTGTGCCCTGGGGCTGTTCCRTGGGGCCCAGCTCTGACCCATCACCTTTGCCCTCCTCCACCAGGTGCTGGGTTCCATCCCGTGGTTCCTCTCTGGTTTCTCCCCATCTCTTTCTGTGGGGAGCCTAGATCTGGATGCTGCGTGATCAGCACATTCCTCACTGTGTCCCCCACCAGCATCTGGACCCTGCTGCAGCTGCAGAGCTGCTGGGGATGTCCCCAAGCCCAGGGGACATGGGATTTCTCCCTAGCCAAGCCAGCCTGACAGGGCTCCTGGATTATAAATATCTCCCTGCACACACAGCCTTGGCATATTTTTAGCTCGGGGAAGGGCGGCGGAGGCTTTCCCACAGCTATTTCAGCTCACAGCTCCTCTCCAAGGGGCGCAGAGTGGCTGGGCCAGACAGCTCCAGCACCCCAAGGATGAGCCCGATGRTGGCCCTGGCAATGTCCCACACTTTTCCCTGCAGTTCCCATGAGCCTTGGGCCAGCCAAGGAGGGACAATGCCTTTGTCCCAGCCAGACTGCCCCGCAGGGATGGCTTCACTCCACAGGGTGATGGCACAGAGGGGAGCCCAGCTGCACCTTTGCTTTTTGCCYTGCTGTGGCAGGACTGGCTGCTGTGGAGCCCACTGACAGGAGCACACCYGTGTGTGTGCACAGCTCCCTGCACCCAGCGGTGTGAGAGGCTCTGCAGCCACATTCCTCAGCGACCCAGACCGGTTCAACGACAGCCCAGCCTTGGGATGACCTGGATCCATTYTAAATTAGCTGTGATTCACCCAGGACTTGCTCCTGGCCTCTCTGCACACCTCCCCGTGGTGCTGCTGGCCCTGTGGCCCCTCTCCCGTGGGCACATTTAGGTGCAGGGGCTCCCTGGTGCTGCCTGCTCACCTTTATCACGCGGCCCATGGAGCCAGGCTGTGCCTGCTCCCTCTCCACACTGTGCTGTCTCGGCACAGTCAGCTGTGGGCCCTCRCAGGCTTTTCCAGCAGCAGACAGCGTGGCTCTTGGGAGCAGGAGCAATGCTCCCACAGCAGCCCCGGCACACCCACCCCTGCACCAGCTCTCCGTGTCACAGCCTGGTCCGAGCATTGGGCCAGGAACAGGGRAGGGTTTAGTGCTGGCAGTGACAGCCCCTGAGCACACCACGGGCTCCAGCAGCCTGGGTCACTGCTGCCGGCCCCCACACCACGTGGCCACAGAAGAAACACGTGTCCAGGGCATCCCATACCACCCTGATGCAAAAGCCCAGGAAAAACTGGCAGAGCAGCCAGGGCTGGCCACTGGCATCACCCCTTGCCTGGAGACTTCATGCTGCAAACATGAGCTGGAAACACAGACTCGCTCTGGGTGCTGTGCTGGGAAAACTGTGGCTCTGGGTCAGGTTCTGGCTCTGTGAACTGCTGACTGATGATGCTATGAAAGAGAAAACCTTGGTGCTACTAAACTGAGTGAAAGGGGATGGGCTTGTTTTCCCTGCAAAGAGGAGAAATCCTCAGAGTGTTTGTGACTTGGAGGCTTTCATCCTCACCAAGATGCTGCTATCAGGTGTACCTGTGCAAGAAAGTGGCTCCCTGGGAATATGCCACTAAGGCCAGGGCAATCCCCTGCACTGCCAGGGGAGAACCGAGCCTCTTCCCTACACCAAAAATACAGCGGTGCCCAGCACCCTGAGAGCTCTGCCAAAATGATGGCTGTTGCCTCCTCAGGGCAGGGAGCTGGATGGGGTTGCTGGCACAGCACTCACAGCAGTAACACGGGTGTTATCTGGGAGCCCACACAAGCTTGGCTGGAAAACACGACTTCAAAGGGGTGAATTGCAAGGATCTGCCTTCGCTCACCGGGTCACAAGGGGCTGGGCTGGGGCAGGTGCCCCTCTGGGGAGAATCCCTGTGTGTRCCACAGCCCTGGCAGGGCTCTGGGAGCTTCCCAGTGCCACCATCTCTGTATCCATCCACC